CCCCCCCCCCCCGAACATTTGCCACCAGTACAAACTTCTTCCAGGACATTTTGGGGGTGGGAAGAGGTAGGGGTGGCTTATGAAATCTGCACCTCAAACCATTCTTTTCAAATATATGGAAACGACTGTGTTTGTTGCATTTGGCTTTGAAAGCGTCAAAAGAAAACACACTCCTTGAAAACTTGGAAAGTAAAGAAAGGAAGTTTACCAGTAAATAAGTTACTAAAAAAAGTAAAATGTCAAACAACTGAAGTACAAAAGAATGACTTTGAGTATGCAAGACAAGCAAGAGAATACAATATGCTTTCCTAACAACAGTTCTTCAGAATAGGGTAACATACTTTTTGAACAAAATGATTAAATGAAGTCATTAAAATGATAGTTGGATTTGAGGAGTTTTCAATACGAGAGAGGCTTCAGCAGTCCTATTTTTACATCTGAAACAAAGAAAATGCTATGCTTAAAGTCATCAACCACACTTTGCTAATAACCAGGAAAATGAGTCTGTATAGCAGTCAGAACAGAAATGAGAAGGCACTAGACCTTTTAAATATGTTATTCCAGTTTTATTTCAAAACAACGGATTCCCTTGTTTTCAAAACATAACCTCATCATTCATTCAACATTTTATGCTACAACTTATTTATTTCAGTGAGTAGCTACTCAGACATTACACAAGCAAGCAAGCAGAGCACTGGACATCCACAAAAATACACCACCCATTGGCTCATAACAATTCCTTTTGGTTTGCCAAACTTCATAAAGCAGTCTCCTTGATAAGAATAATGTTCATGTCCAAATTAGATGTAATTTTGCAGTATCTAAGTGAAAAGTAGTGGTAAATTAAACACTGCATTTTTTGACTTGCAACTCTGACAAGATGACTCAAAGCCAAGCAAGGAAGTACTTTAAGAAAGGTTACATGCTTCTCAACTACTAAAAAAAGGTAAACCATTATTTTGTTATGAGAAGCACGAGTCAAGCTTTCACTGGAACTAGATACTTCACAAAGTTATTCTTCAAAACTACAACTTTTGTAGCCTTTTCACTAACATAAAAAGAAAAACTGAGGGGGGGGGGGTGAGAATTGGCATTGGGTTTTGGTTGGTTCTTTTCTTTGCCCTGGGCCCTATGTCTGAAATTCTGGTCTCCTTGTTTTGAGAGAAACTCTGAATAATTGGAAAAACAATACAAACACAAATACTATGCAAAAAAAACCAAACCAACCCAACCTAAAATTTGCTACCTGTCCTCCAAAGAATTGTTTAAACACATCTTATAACAAACAAGAATGGAAGGATGTGATTTTTGTCTTATGTTCTCTTTTTTTAATTCAAACACTTGAGAAATATTTAAAAGATGTCTCTACCATTTTGGACTTCATCTCAGTGTACATCTAAGTGACCTCCAATAAGGCTTTACTCAAAATTAGAAGTCAGATGCAACACTGCTGTTCCTTATAAAATACCCATAACAAAACTAAATAAGGCTTTATTTCTACATTATAACGCAGAAAAAAGCACTTTCTTTCAGTTCACCTTTAAGATATGAATTTGTGTACATAAAGAATAAAAATGCATCCTCACTTCAAAATTGGCAAAATTTTGCATCAGTATTTAAGTATACATAAATTATGCAAATATTTTAATAAAACATTTATTCTTCAAAACCAGGTACAAACAGCAGTCCGTGTTTTTACAGGATTCATCATTTAGAAAAGGAAAGAAAAAGATTCCAGTGCTACAGTAACTGAAAAAAACCCAGAGATAAGCCAAAGAGCAACTTAGTTTGCTCCATCTACTATTTACTTCTGGACTCTCTTTCTGGTTGCTGTGACTTTCTTGGGTTTTGGTGAGGTCATCTTCCGGGTTCTGGTAGCTACCGCATCTGCAATTAAAACAAACAAACAAACAAAGACAAGACTTTCTATTAAAAAAAAAAAAAGAACATAAATGGATCACAAGAAAATACTTGTAACACATGACAGAGTCAGAAGAATTACCACAATTTCTGGGCACCAATTTTCTCCTGAAAAACACGTACAATTCAACTTCTTGAACAGTAGCATTACATACAGTTGAGCCAATTTAATAGCTCAGCTCCACCAAAAGATGAAGAATCAGATCCTCTTTAGAAGCTAAACCCCTCCTTCCTTCCCATGCAGCAACTTTCAGTTCTATGATCCTGCCCAGTATTAAGCCATGTTTGGTGCTCTTTGGACCTTACAGCTAAGCTGATGCAGCTCCGTGACCTGGCAAAGAACTTTTTTTTGGTCTAGTATTCTCATAGTTCAGTGAGTTACAGCATCTTAGAGTGTTCTGAATGGAGCTTATACATGGGGAGGTGGAAGGCACACAGGTACAAAAGAGGAAAAATTTTTTTTAGCAATGTCAAGCTGTTAAATCAGCTCAGCTATCAGTGCAACTTTACCTACAGATTTCAAGCTATTATTTGACAATATTTTATTAAAAAAGGTAACGAACAGTGCCATCTAAATAAGATTCCTAACAAACCTGGCAGGCAGGTTGTTCAAAGAGACCATACTTAAATACAATAATAAAAAACTCCCTGCACTTCCATTCTTTCCTGCTCACTAGCAGGAAGAAGAGAAGAAAAACCCATACCACAGCTCACTTCCGTGAATCACATTCAACTACAGTCACTTTGAGAAAAAATATTACATATAATAAAAATTGCTACCATTTTCACAAATGCCGTAACAATTAAATGTTTTTCATCTCCTAGTCATGGTTTGAGGGTTTTTTTTAAATTTTTTTTTGTTTTAAATCCTGACTTCCTCCTTGAAGTCAGTTTGCCTAACTATTTAAGTTCTTGCTTGTAAAACTATATATAACTATCATTCCTGTCAACTTCTTAATCTGCGTTACTGACAAAGAAAAAAAAAGGTAAAATTGAGTTTCACGGAAGACCTTAAGAAAAGCTGCTTGCATAAGACAACAGCCTTTGAGAAGTATGAGTCAGACTGTTCAAGCTCAATGAGTAAATCTCACCACCATCCCCCAACTGCTGTGTAAAAACCAAATCCATTCTGGTACCCTTACAAGTACTGGTCACTAAAAGCTATACAAGCAGGTATCATAAACTAAAGTAGTAACTACGTAAATCATTCCTATTCCCAGCTAAATTCTGGTTTATCTTCAAGAATTAATTTATAATTTTCAAAGTCACACAATATTTCAGCTGCTATAATTGTGAATTCTAGCAACAGACATGTCTTCTGAGTTTTCAAATTGAGTAGTCTTACTGGCATGTAGGCCAAGTTATCCTATCAACTGCATGAATCGTACCGATTTTCCTCTCTCCATCCTTCCTGAGACTCTGTATTGCAACAGAAAGCAGAGAATGACCAAAGTTTTCTCTTCAAGAAAAAACAATAACCTGATCTTTCTCCCTTTCATTAATCTTCACCAGTTTTGACTGAGGTAACTGATTTTTCTTCTCATCCAATCATAGACTGTATAATCAAATGCTGCAAAGATAGGTCAAATTCACGTTCTATTATCAGAAAGACTGTCAATATGAAAATGATGACCTTCGGTAGGAAAATACTACAGATGTTTGTTTACAGAGAAAAAAGAAATAAGTTATCACATTTTCATGGCTGTATTTCAGGAGTGTAGTATTTCATGGTAGTCTTAGACAATACAAGCAATTAAAGCTTACTAATTCCTAGTTCAGTAAGAGCTTACCCATTTCCAGTTGCTCATGCTGGAACACCAAAAAGAAGAGAGCTACCCTGTCTCTGATTTTTCCTTTATCTTTATTACATTAATGAGTTCTTTTCAAGGCTTTTCTAAACAAACCATGATCACGGAGAATCTCTAAGTGAATCATAACAAAAAGGAAAAAAATCCTTGTCGTGGTTCTTTTATTCATAATTTCAAACTTAAGCAGCAGAAATATTCTCTTAAACTATCTGATTAATTATGTTAAACTCAGAATGACTGCTCTCAACTCATGTTTAGCTTCAAAGCTTGCAGCTATTTCAGAACTGAAGGTCTTCTATACCGAAAAGCTCGTCTGCATTTTCAAAATTAGTGAGCCTGATAACGTATATTGTCCCCTCCCCACAAACTTTTCTTGTGGAAGAAATGTCAGTTCTGTTTCCGAAAACAGTCCTGTGTGGGCAGCACCAAATGAGGACACAAACAAAGCTATTACAAGAAAAGGAGAGGGTTTTTATAAAGCAGATTAAACTGAATTAGGTTGAAACAGCAATTTAAATGAGGAAGAATTATATAGGCAAAAATAAACCAGATGGTGTCACTACACAGCTTGTTTTGAGACTGGAACAAAGTTCAGCAGAGGCATAAAGAGTCCCACAGGCTCCAGAGGCATTATTAGACAAGTTGACTGTGATATCTGATCCTCTCCATGTAAACAGTATTATAAAGCAACTTTACAAAAGAAACCCAGCAGTACTCTTTCAAGAAAGTTCTGAGAAAAATGGAGGAAAAAAAAAAAATCAGGAGTGGTGATCATGGTTTCTAGCGCTTTAATACACACACACACACACACGCACACATACAAAAAAGGAATTTAACTAATTTATCTGAAAAAGGAAAAAAAAATGGGAGAGATGTGGTGGAGCCTTTTGTACTCATCAAATGTGCAAAAGATTGCTGCATAAAATGAGAGAAATTTTCATGTCCACAGTGGATAGGACAACTAATAAGCTTAAGGGAAATTCATATTAGGTACTAAAAATATCAAAAGAACATACTCTGCCTTATCAAACCCTTTTCAGTAGTAAGGATAGTTAAGTATTACAAGTGGTGTGGACCAGGAATATTTTAGAATCTTAATCATAGAGGTTTTAAGAGAAAATATTGGTATGTATCAAGTTTAACAAAGATGTAGATAGATAAGCCTGTCCTTCAGCTGGTGTTTAAAGCAGATCACCTCTTGATGTCCCTTCTCATCTTGTTTTCCGTTTCTACATACACCATTTTAGAAACACACATAAGTCTTATGAGTAAGAGAAATAAAACTGTACTCAAGTCAAAAAATGAAAGTTTCTATAAAATGACAGAGGTTCCTTTGGTAAAAATAAGCAGACACCAGAGACCTAGGTTTCCCACTTAATCGCCTGCTTTGATGGAAATGAGGACAGCGGGAAATTCTGAGCATGAAAACACAGCTACCGAGCAGATGAAATCAGGTATGATTTAGGTGTGAATGGTGACTTCTAGGTTACATCATAGGCTAGAATATTTGAAAACAGAAGCACATACAGATTTTAGACTCCAGGCAAACATCAGGTAAGTGAAAAACATCTAGCAGCAGGCACGCAGAAGGTTAGTAACTGCATCACTTGCATATGCTGAATTTACACCTGACAAAGATTGAGTACATGCCAGTCTCTGTATAATGGCCGAAGAGTTCCAGCAATTCTAGTCTATGCAAGCTCTTAAACTAAACTTGTAGTAATCATCATTATAAAGAGCTAACATCTTTCACCCTCAAAAGAAGCACATGCCATCAAGTATGTTGATCAGACACTGCAAGGTTTCCTTTCTTAAAAAAAAAATATCCAATGGGTGTGCATACATGTGCATAATCTCACACATACACTTTGCTATATGTTTCTCTTTAAGAAACAAAGGTCAATAAATCTGGAATGTTGGACCATGTGGTGAAGAGTTCTCAAGTGGTTTCTGGAAGAGATGTTCTCAGACTAGTCTCCACGTAGATGGAGCTTAATTATTATTTCTCTATAGACACCCAGTGTGCCACAGCAGGACAGTCTTATGACAGCACTGACATTTCTTTAATAGTGGCAACTTCATGCCACATAGATTGAATTGCCACAGTTAACCTGAGAAGTGATGAAGTAGGAACGAGAGGACTGCTAACCTAACACAAATCTCCCTAGTCAACTAGATGCAACCTTGCATATGCCACTATATCAGAACTCAGTGCAATAAATTAATCCAAGACTGTGTTTTGTTACTAATTTAAGTAACTAATTGTGGACTTGTAATTTCCAAAGGAGACAAATTTAACACTGTCAGTTCTTCAAAATTCTTCCACTGACCCCAGTATCACTTTTGTCTTGCAAAATGTGCTTCAGTCATATTTCAGTGGTCTTTGATCATATCAAATAACCAAGTCATTTTGCTGGATTGCTCCCTAGGAGACCTTTTTCCATCAACTGCCCCTTAAAAGGGTTCTACAATCAGCAAACTGAAAAGGGAAAACAAGAGAATGGAACCCATACAATTGCTATTTACATATGGAAGGAATTAAAAAAAAAACAAATAGCATTGGAAGCTGAAAGACTACACTCAGCATTCAGCTGCAAACATCGAATGGGAAGTGAAGCCAGGTTGTGCAGCATCTAATAAGATTTAAGCATTACACTAGTTCACTGTTCTCAAATCAGTTTGGGCAGTTTGAATATGGTGCCAAGGAAGAGCTACTTTTCTTTTAAGAAGATGAAGTAAGGAAGAGTATGTAGTTTCCCAACTCAGCCAGGGAACCCTGCATGGCTGATAAAACCTGGTAGTGTAACACTTCTCAAACATGAGTTTTTCAGTACTTTGAAGGCTGTTGAAGCAACTGCAAGGGTGGCAAATAGTAGTTTTGGTCAGTTGGCTTGTTCTCTTTTCTCAGCAGTTCTTTTCTCTACAAAAATTCAGAAATATGATTCCAAAAAAAGAACAGAGAGACCAGAAGAATGTAAATATGGACTTGAATTCCAGGAAATACATGATTGCAGGGTGGGGATGAGAGAGAAGAAAGTAAGTTTGTATAGTTATGGGATGGGGTTTGGCTTTAGGTACTCCTTCTTCCAAGTCCTCTGTTTCCTGCAATAAATGAAGCTGATACCTTCCCATATGATAATATGGAAAAACATCAGGACA